AATAAATTATTTTATTGGGGGCTCTTAACAGCTCTTATGACAATCCACACATCCATTAGCTCAATCACATTTCTACATACTGTATAGACTTGTGCATAAGCCGAGGATTTTTTTAAAAATCATTTTAAATCACCATCCATACATCCACCCATAGTGTCAAGCGTATTTGTACATTTGTTGCCATCCTCATTCTCAAAATACTTGCTTTCTGCTTGAGCCCTTGGTATCAGCTCCTCATAACCCCCCTCCCTCCCCACCCCCGCTGCCTCCCCCCAAGGAGGCGGTGCATACTCAGCTGCGTGTTGATCTGGAGGTCAACGGAGGAGTGGATCTCGAAGTTCACAGACTGGGCCATGCCCAACCTGCAAAGGCCAGCGACCTGGAGCTCGTTCTCTCCTCCCCGCAGCGAGCACGGAGGGGCAGGGGGGCAGGGGGGCGGGGGGACATGCCAGCTGTCTGGGAATGCTCACCCCCAGGCGCTAGTGTAGCTGTAGTTCAGGGTCCCTTTGAAGATCCCAGACACGTTCTGAACAGAGATGTCGACTGACTCGTCTTCTACCAGCTCCACCTGGCTGCTGGCGATGGACAGCTGTCCGATCTGGATGCTTAGAGCACAGTGGAGGGGCGAGTGGGCACTGCGGGGCCTGGGAGGGGGGCTGTCCCCCCCTGCGCGTGGGTGTGCATGCATACACACACACACATGCACGCACACGTGCTCAGCTACAGCCTGCACTGGGAGAACGCATAGTCCAGAGAGGGCGACGGAGTGACCCCGGCAGGCAGTGAGGATGGGATGGGCAGAAGAACCCACAGCATTCCCAGAAGCGGTGAACATGTGACCTCACAGGGCAAAGGGCATTTGCAGGCACCTTGAGGTGGGGAGGCAACCCTGGGTCCCGTGGGTGGGCCTGTCAGAGTGGAGGAGTGGGCAGCAGAGGAGAGGCCCGAGGGACTATAACCGTGGAGGAATGATCAGAGAGCCAGCTGCACCGCTTGAAGAAGAAGGCTAGGACCCTGATCCCAGGCGCGTGGGTGCCATCTAGAGTCTGGGCAAGGAAAGGGAAGGACGCTCCCGGGGGCTCTGGGAGATGTGAGGCCTTGTTGAGATCGGGATCTGAGCCGAGCGAGATGTTTGCCGGCCCTCAGGACTGCAGGACAATCACTGTGTGCTGTTTGTGCTATTTGTTAGGATCACCACAGAGAATGGATCCAGCAGGCTTCCTGGAGGGGGTGACTTGGGAGTCAAAGGGGGTGCATGCAAGAGCAGGGTCAGGTGGCAGTGTGGAGGGGAAGGCTGGTTTCAGCCAGTGCTGGGAGGGACCTGGATGCCCAGAGCTGGGCATGAGGGTGCACCTGTGTCTCCTGTGCAGAGGGGTTTCCATGAGAACCCATCCCAGGGAAGCAAGCTTTACAGGGCAGGACAATGGGATGGGATGGGACCCTCACCCCCCTGGCATAGCCCCTCCCAGGCCTGGCTTCAGCCTGTGCAAAGCGGCATAAAATCAGTTGCTCGTACTAAGCGCTCATGAGCTGCCAGCCACTGTGCCAGAGCTGCCAGGTGCTGCCTGCCCAGCCTCAGCGTCCCAGGAGAGACCGCTAGTGCTGTCCTGGCTAGACAACTGACTGCCAGTGAGTGGATTCCGACTTACAGCAAGCCTATAGGATGGAGTAGGTCTGCCCTGTGGGTCTCTAAGACTAAGTTCCCCGTGGGAGTAGAAAGCCTTGTCTTTCTCCTTAGAAGCAACTGATGGTTTCCAGACTCACGCTGGTTGTTGTTGTTACTGCTAGGTGACGTCAGTCGGTTCTGGCCCGTAGTGACCCCGTGCTCAACAGAGCAAACACCACCTGGCCGAGCGCCACCCTCACGCGGCTCTGCTCTCTGAGCCCATTGTCGCAGCCACTGTGTCCGCCCGTCTTGTGGAGGGCCTTCCCCCACCTCACTGCCCCTCTGCTTCCCCGAGCACGCTGTCCTTCTCCAGGGACTGGACGGGAG